TTAAACCTGCCTTGGATTAACAATTATCATAATGACCTGCCTTGGATTAACAATTATCATAATTACCTGCCTTGGATTAACAATTATGGCATTTCTGTTTGACTTTGAGGTTACAGGCACAGATAAACTGTTGACATCTAATGTTGACCTACATTATGAACAAAAGTAATAACACATCATGATGACACAAAATGGTGATTTTCAGCTACTGATAACTTAAGAAAAGGAAAAAAATCACTCTTTGCGATAAAAATAAATTATGTAACAACTACCTATAGAAAAATTTGAACAAAATAACAAAGAATGCAACAATAGGTGTCTGGGAAAATTGACAGAAAAGAACAAAAGTTATCATTTGAAGCTAGACATCTAAAACAGTATTTAGTACCTAGTTGACGGCATTTTCCCATCCCCATTTGTTCATATGATCCCTAGAGACTAGTTTGCCTTCTATAGTGGTTGGGAAACCTTTGAAAATTATTCTGATATGACCTAATTTGAGGTTGAAATGACAGTCTTACAAATTGTCATGTTCACTATTTCTTGCAAGCTCAAGGGGAAACTCGCACCTGATAGTAGAAAATTCCTCCAGGGAAAGAATATAACATGAACTGAAATGTAATTACTAAAACAAGGAATGACCTAAAACCATATACAACCACCTACAACCATCTAAAACCACCTTCAGAATACTATTGTGACAATTTGTGACAATTTTGTTGACAAATTTCAATGTAAATACACACCGCATGTCTCGCATGTCATGATCAGGGAAAAACACGAAGAGAATTGTTTACACAGGAGCAGCACCAAGAGACTTGAGGTTTTTCGAGTAATAGATAGACTACGATTTCGAGGTCAGTGTTTTCAAGGTCTGAGTTTTCGAGGTCAGTATTTTCAAGGTCTGAGTTTTCGAGGTCTGTGTTTTCGCAGTCCGCTTTGATGTCAACTAGACACCAAGGAGGACCCCAGTAGCAGGAAATTTGACGAGGTTGCATAATATAACATTGACCAAGAACTAAAATCAGAACAAATTAAAGCCAGCATGTTGCAGATTCTGAGAGCTGATTGCCTCCATCTATTTCGTGTGTGGTACTCATTGGGATGCTACTTGTAACTGCAGTAATTTTAGGGAATTTATAAGCTACATGCATCTCACGAGATTTGCAAGTTCTGTTTATCACAGCTGTCATGATCATTTAAACTGTCACTGTTCTTTTCCCAGTTTCCTGTTCTCAGTCAATTAAGTTTTTTTTCTTTGAATAACAGTATCTCATTTTAAACTGTTTTGTTTTCTTTGTTGTACGCTCACTATGCAGCCCAATTTGAAGCAATTTAAAATGGTTATGGCCACTCGGATTTCGATTTCTTAGCAAAGGGCAAAATGTTATATTATGCAACTTCATTAAATTTCCTGTTACTGGGGGTCCTGCTTGGTGTCCAGTTGACCTCAAAGCAGACTGCAAAAATGCACACCTTGAAAACTCAGACCTTGAAAACACTGACCTCGAAAACGTAGTCTATCTATTACTCAAAAAACCTCAAGGCTCATGGTGCTGCTCCCATGTAAACAATTTTCTTGGTGTTTTTCCCTGATCATGACATGTGAGACATGTGACAACATTTCCGGTGTGCATTTACTTTGAAATTTGTCAACAAAATTGTCACAATAGTATTCTGAAGGTGGTTGTGGGTGGTAGTAGATGGTTGTAGGTGGTGGTTGTAGGTGGTTTTAGGTCATTCCTTGTTTTAGTAATTACGACTAAAACGTGTACTGTACGTAGTATCATGGACATTTCAGGCGGCCGAGCAAATAATTTCTCTGTTTAGTATCAAACATACGAAGAGATTTGACTGTTTCATAGAGCTCTTTTCCCCTTCCTTTTAACCCCACTCATTTTCGCCCCTTGATTTAGAACCCACTCTTTTTCCTTTATCTTTGTTACTGTCTCTTTAAAATGATTCGTCTCTTCTAGAAATGCAAACGTCTCTCGGAATGTCTTTCCCACGGTAGGTTTGATAGAAGAAGCACTGTTGTTACTCCCATTTCCTTCAATCTTGTTCTGAGAAGCATGTACACTTTCCTGAAAGGGAAGAGAAGCCTGTTTTGAAACGCAGCTTTTGGACAGCTTTCCTGTTCCATTCAATGTTTGCTCGTGTTTTGTGATAAGGTGGTTGGTTTCGTGTCTTTCAAGATCACCAGCATTCCTTGTCGTCGAGTTAGTACCATCTCTATTTTCTTCGATGCCCTTGCTGGATGTCCTATACGTATTGAACAATTGATTATGCCTGGAGTCTTGTACTTCTTCGTCCAACTCTTCCAGAGATGGTACAGCGAATTTCCTCTTGGTTGCCGCCATTTTTAAAATCGAGCGATGAACTGGGGCCGGGATTGTGATGAAGGTAAATTGTTCATGTAAGGTCCATAAGACGTCCTATAAAACTTACCAATCATGCTCTACTACATTCACCCGCATCTACCTTAATTTTTCTACCACGTTAACCCTCATTATCCCCAGTTTAGCCTCTTTTATCTTCTTTATCCCAATCTTCCCTAGGTTAGGCATTATCTACCACGTTTACCCACATCTACCCTAAGTTAGCCACGTTCTATCCTGTTCACCCACACCTACCATAGAGGGCGACCCTAAAAGCCGGAACGGCGGAATAGCGGGAAATGACCCCAAATCCTAAAACCCGGAACGGCGGAAAATGACCCCAAATCCTAAAACACCGAACGGATGACAGGGCATGTTGCACAAATTTTGTACAAAGACAGTCAAGCGCTTGGCTCATTCATTCCCACGACGATAACGCGCGTGACCAAACTTAGACTAGCGTGAGAGCAAGAGAGGTTTGCATGGAGTCATGCGCGTGGAAATTTCTCATGGCGTGAGAAGACAAAAGAAAGTTAACAGAAGGAAGCCGATAAATTACTTAACGGACGATTAAGTAATAATTTAGACCAAAGAAGTTCAGCTTTTGTATCGCTTGTCCTCTTCTTAGTTTTCTCTAAGGTTAAGTGAATTTGCAAAGGCATAATGATTTAGAATGTGCAGTTAACTAAAGGTGAAAATCGTACAACACCTCGACTGATTTATTGGGAATTGATTGTTAGGTAATGAATGAGAAACAAACCGAACATCTACAGCATGATATTACACATTATTACGAGCAAAGATAACTTTTTCTGGTATTGACTTAATGTCCGCGGAAGTTATCCTCCTAAGGGGAAATTAGTATGGGTAAACTTGATTTTTATTTGGCTCTCTTGATCACAGGTAACCCAAGCTCTGTCACAGGCTCTTTTACAGTGAATAATTAAAGAGTTTGTATAGTGGTTTAGTTGGACTTGCTTTTGAGCTCCGTAAATGTAAAGTTGTGTGAAGTAATCAAAGAAATAAAGTATTACCTTCATAGAGAGTAGTCTGTGTTGATCTCCTCGCGATTTGAGGCCGTTTTGGCGTGTTTTAGCTTAACGCCCTAAATCACCGTGCACAAAAGCCCGTATTTTGGGCCTAATTTTGCTAGTTTCCAGGCCGACCGCGTCGTAACGGACTTTTGACTCCACAGGATTTGACCGACGCGGATTCGAATGGCGTTGAAATGGCGCTCAATTTGAGATTTTTGCTGTGCTGGTTACTCGTCAACCAAACTTTTTAGGGATTTGTTTTGGTGAACTTGAAGGGCAACTATTTGGCTTTCGTGCTGCCAAGTTTCGATTCAATGGGAAGTATTTAAGTGTGTTTTTCGAGCGATTTTGGCGGGCGTGTCTGAGACAGAGCTTTCCTACCTTCCCTCTTCTTTGGTAGTGGTAGGACGTTAAGCTGAAACACAGCAAAACGGCCTCAAATCGCGAGGAGAACAACCCAGACTACTCTGTATGATGAAGGTAAGACTTTATTTCTTTGATCATTTCACACAACTTTCTATTTACGGAGCTCAAAAGCAAGTCCAACTAAACCAGTATACAAACTATAATAATCCACTGTAAAAGAGCCTGTGACAGAGCCTGGGCCGCCTGCCTCAGATGGTTTATTTCTTCCGCTGATATGTAAGCCGCAAATTTCATAGTAGGATGGTGGTATTTTGGACACCTGGTCGCGAAGAAATTCTTCAAATTCTTCTGGACGGCTTCCTTCTGTTAAGGTGTGGAGTTCCTCAAGGCTCAATCTTGGGCCCCCTTCTCTTCAATATATACATGAACGATGTGAATTTTTCAGATATTTCGTGCTCTCTAAGATTTTATGCTGATGACACTACTGGGTACTCTTCAAACCTCTGTCCATCTACCTTGCAAATAAATCTACAAAACAACGTTGGTCTACTCGCTTCCTGGTTTTGTGAGAACTTTCTGGCGATCAATCATAGTAAATCTCAATCCATAGTTTTCAACAGAGCAACTTTACCAACGCCCTTTGTTATTGACAGTAATGAACTGGATTACGTTACACATATGAAGCTTCTTGGAGTAGTCATCGACAATTCACTCTCTTTCAACGTACACATTAAAGAAGTTTGCCGGAAAGTGAATACAAAAGTTTCAATTCTCCGTCGCATTCGTAAATTTATACCCTCAGATGTGATGATTAAATTGTACAAAGCTTTCATTCTCCCTCACTTCGAATATGCATCACCACTGTTTATAGGTCTAAGTAAGGGTCTGTCTGCGAAACTGGAGTCAACCAATGCATTCGCTCTGAGGACTCTTCTCAATTATTCTAAGTCGACTGCTTACGAAGAGTTATTGAAAACTGCAAATATTAAAAGTTTAGAACATCGACGCATAGAACAAGCACTTATACTTGTATATAAAAGTATTCATAACCAGACACCGAACTACATTCAGGAATTGTTTTCTCTGCGAAGTAATGGTTACAGCCTACGTGGCCATCTTAAGGTTGTTCTTCCAAGACCAACCTCATCTTATATGCAACATTCTTTTACGTACCAGGCTAGCAAACAATGGAACAATCTGACAGACAAAATAAGGATGTCGGAATCCCTTTCTATATTTAGGAAAAATTTGCAAGACATACAGTTGTCCTCATCGTATGACTGCAGCTGTTTGTTTTGTAAACAAATAGTCTAGTCACAAATAGCAATTATTCATTCTAGATAATTAATTTTTATTTCTTACCTATTACTTATTACTTATATATGTAAATTATGTCAAA